GATGCACGCCCGGGCCGTCTCCAGCGGCCAGCGGTCAGTACCGATCATGCGGGGAGGGGAGCACACCGAGGCAGCAGGCGAGGCGAGGTGAGGCGGGGCGAGGCGGGCGCAGCCGACACCGTACCTTGCACTCCCGCAGCACGGTCATCCTGTTACCGGGCCGCAGGCGCCGGCCGTCCAGCCAGCTCAGGTACTGGTCCACCAGTCGGCTCAGCTCGCCCAGCTCCTGGTAGAAGGCCGCCTCGTCCAGCAGGTACTCGGCGCGGTCGCGGCGCTCGGTCACCAGCCGGCGCAGGTCCTGGTAGTCGGCCTCCACGCGCTCCACCTTGCGCAGCACGTCGTCGCGCTCGCCGCGCTGCTGGAAGCCGCGGCAGAGGCGCGCCGCCAGCCGGCGCACCTCGTCCACGTCGGCCTGGCGCGCGGCCACCTCGTCCGTCAGCCGACCGAGCGCGGCCAGCTGCTGCTCGGCGTCGCGGTCGGCGGGCTCCATCGAGCCGCGCGCCGCCAGTGACCACTGCGTGAAGTCGTGCAGCGCCGTCATGAAGTCGTTGTGGGCGTTGGCTGACTCGACGCGCCTCTTCTTGGCGCCGCCGGGCGCGCCCACGTCGTCGGTGGAGGAGGCGACGCGCGACCGCACCTCCATGCCGCCGCGCTGCAGCTGCCAGCGTCACGGGGCTCGTCACTGGCCAGCTCGCGGCGGCGCGGCGGCGGCGGCGTCCGGCCGGCGCGCGGCGCGGCGCGGCGCAAGCAACACCCGAGCACACATCGAGGCAAAAGGTCTGTGCGGAAATTAAACTGAATCAGAGGCTGTGGCGGTACCGGGGCTGACCCCGCCAGGCGAGTTGGCATGCGGTTTAGTTGCCGACCTACACACCATCGGGCGTGTCAACGGGGATATGAGACTACGACAAACAAAGATGGCTGCAAAGTGAGCAGGGTCCACTCAGAATCTCACGGTTCAAAAACTAGGGCATGACGCCAGTGAACGGGTCAATGGTACGTGTAGCGGTTCAGTCCCCCATGCCGTCCCACGGAGCGAGCAAAGCACAGGTTCAGCCGCGCGGCCGCCGTTGCGGTGGGGCCGGCGCCGTCGGTCGGTGTTACGGCGGCATGCCAGCTGCGCAGCCCGCGCCCCCATCCGGCGTCACTTACCCTCAGACTCTGCGCCTCGATGATCTGAACCAGGCAGTCCCAGCGGTCCTTGACGTCCTCCATGCGCTGCGTGATGTCGTCCTGCGCCGGCGAGTCGGCCTCCAGGCAGGCCTGCACCTCGTTCGACAGGTCCTGCAGCAGCGCGAACTGCCCGTGCCAGCTCTCCATCTGCGACTGCAGCTCCTGTGGACGAGGCGGCCGGTCAGGCGCCGCCGCCGGCTCGGCTGCGGGCCGCGGCCGTCTCCCCTCAGGGCGACGGCGACACGCCACGCCCCGAGCGGCAGCACACCGGCCGGCGGCGGCAGCACGCCGGTCACCGGCGGTGTGCCACCAGTGGTGTCAAGTGGACACACTGGCGGCAGCACACCGGCCGCGGCTCGAGGCAGACCGCCCTGTCGGCGGCGCCCGGCCGGGCGGTCCGACCTGCCGCCGGTCACGCCCGCCGTCGTCGCGCCGCACCGTCGGCCGTCTCACCTGCACCTGTCGGCACTGCTCCTGCAGCTGCCGCTGCTCGGTGGTCGGGTCGGCCTCCATGGCCTTGAGGCGCGCCTCCTGGCTGTCCACCCAGTCCTTGAGCAGGGCCAGCTGCTCGTGCAGCCGCGGCCAGTGCCGCTGCAGCAGCGCCACGTGCTGCGACCGCTCGTCCGTCCAGCTCAGTGTGAAGTTCCACCGCTCAGACAGCACGCTCAGGTGGTCCTCTAGGTTGGCAAACTCTGCCGGCACGGGGGACGACGGTCAGGCTAGGGCGAGTCCGCCCAGGCGCCGCCCGCTGCCACTTCCAGAGAGATCGGGACGCACCCCGGAAGGTCGAAGAGGAACAAGACATGACACTGAGATCAAAAGGACTCGCAGCCCGCTAACTATTGTGGTCCAAGCACGCCGTGATCTACCTGCAGCAGAAAGAGCCAAACACTAGATAGATTAGTCCCAGACACCGAGCATGTCATCGCCGGGGGAGAGCACTGGCCAGTGATGGCTGGCTCAGCTGCTTGGTGAAATTTAGTCTCCTCCTCACGAATGGAGCAATGGACTGGCAAATGGACTATTGTCCCCATCTGGTGTGTTCACACACAATACGAGAACTATGGTTCGGACAGCCATTCCATTCGTGGTACTAAATCTCGTCTGAACCTTTCCGTACAAATGTTATCTTCTCCTCTCCTCTTGAAAGGGGTTTCCGACCGTCCCCCCGACCGACCAGTCCCGCACCCGCCGACGGTCTCTCGTCCCGTCCTCACCGCTGTCCTCCGCGTCGTCCTCGACGACGAGCACGTCGAAGAGCTCGGTGACGCGCGGTCGCCAGAGGTCGACCTCTGCCGCCAGCTGGGCGTGCTCGTCCGCCTGGGCCGGCAGGGCGGCCAGCGTCGGGCCGAGCGGCGCCGTCAGCGAGATCCGGTTCTCCATGCCCGTCAGCCAGGCGCGCAGGGCCGTCATCGCCGACAGCTGCACCTGCGCCAGCCGCGACTGCAGCCTGCCGCGCCGGCACAACGGCGGTCACGGGCGGGGCAGAGGAGCGATCACGGGCGGGGCAGAGGAGAGGCCACCGGCGGAGCAGAGAAGAGGTCACAGACGCGGCAGAGGAGCGGTCTTGGGCGAGGCATGGGAGCGGTCACAGGCGGGGCAGAGGAGCGGTCTTGGGCGAGGCATGGGAGCGGTCACGGGCGGGGCAGAGAAGATGTCACGAGCGAAGAAGCGTTCACGCACGGGACACACAAGCAGTCATTCGCAGACCAGGGACGGTGGCAATAAAGTGGTCCCATACGGTGTTTCCCCAGATAAGATACGATTGCCAGATCAAATGGAGCCAAACAGAGCGAAAACGAAGCACCAAACCGCACGGAACACAGCAGCTCCGGTGACATTCACAAACCCCCATCGCAATCTCCAGAGCGTTAAGTGCCACGATCAGACGCATTGGCAGCGACGGTCGAGGTCAGCGCGCGTGCGCCCGGCACTGACTCGGTCTGCTTGTCGACGGCGCGCTGGCGCAGCTCCTCCCAGCGCAGGGTCAGCAGCCGCATCTGCTCGCGGATCTCGGCCTCCTCCTCGGGTGTCACCTTCTCGCCCAGCAGCCGCTTGCCCTCGTCCAGCACCTCGAAGATGTCCGCCTTCCGCTCGGTCAGCTCCTCCATGTAGGCCTGCGGCGGGCGGGCGGCTGGCATGGTCAGCGACCGGGTCGACAGGGCCCGGCCACGGCACGGGGTCAGGTCAGCCGGTACGACGGCGCGGTTCCCGGTCCGAGCGGGCAAGGTCAGCCCGGCCAGCGGTGCCATAACCTGACTGGTCACACCCGGGGACGGTGGCTTCGCGCCCACAGTCTCCATCAGAAGACAGCTTACACGCCACAGTCAGAAATCGCATCACCATCACAGCGACCTGTTGGTCAGCTCACGCGTGACCGCCCGAGGGGCCGCACGTGAGGGTGACGCACCTCATGAGCCCGGAAGCGCTGCTTGACGGCAGCCAGGTCGTCGGGTGCGTCGCCGGCCTCCTCCAGCCGCGCGCCGGCGTCCTGCAGCCAGCCCAGCACCTCCTCCAGGATGGTCGAGTACGTGTTGATGTCGACGCCCGAGCCGGACGACAGGAAAGAGGACGGCCGCGTGGGCCGAGCCGCGTCCGGCGCCTGCCGACTACGCGCGCCGCCGGTCACGCCGTGTCCCCGGGTGCCCACGTGTCGGTGTCGGTGAAAACAGTCCCCCTTAGCCCGCTCCCTCCGGCCTCACGAGCTTGACTTACTCCGACGCGGAGGATGCTGGAAACAGCAGCGCACTCGGCGGCACCATTGTCACGCGGGTACCGAAGCAGCAATCCGCCGCCTCGCCGGAGGCCGGCCACCAAGCTGCTAAGTTACGACAACGATCATTAAAACCACATCGTCGGTATGCACTCGCTCTGAGACGAGCCGCGGCTGCCTGCCTAAATCAGCGCCGTACCGCAGCGCCGACCCAAACCCAACGGCGCAGTGAGCACGGCTGGCGGCGGCGGCGCGCGGCCACCCGTTCGACGCCGGGCCGCCGGCAGACGGCGGGGCCCGTCCGGGGTCAGACACCTGCGGTCCGCCCACCTGTTTGCGTTTGACGGTGGCCGGCGTGGCGCTGGGGTCCGCAAACATCATGTCCACCGTGTCGTGCGGCAGCGCTTGGAATAGGCACATGACGTACGTCATGATGGACTTCTTGTCCGGGTGCGTCGTGTTCACGTCTGAAAGGCGGCCGAGCGCGGCCGTCAGCCCAGCGGCAGCGGCAGCCGAACGAGATGGATTCCCAGGCAGCAAGGCGAACGCAGTGCCGCCCAGCAACCGCTCCGTCCTTGCATCAGCACACAACTCGCCCCAGGCTCGCATGTCCAGGAAGCCGCATCACCAGCCACAACAGATCGGATTCGTCCTTGTGACGCATCGGACGAGCGCGCAGCCCGCCGGGGCCACTCGACGCCCGGTCGTCGAGGCCGGCCGCCACGTGTGTTCGGCCATCGACGCCGCCTATTCCTGCACAGCTGCGGTGCACAGCGCTAAACGCTGAGTCGAATCCGCCGCTCCGAAAGCTCGATAGCATTACGTGACCAATAACGTCTAAAGGATACAAGATAGCAGAGTGCATAACAGTGGATGAGGAGGGCAGCATCCAGATCGTAGCGCATTTACCGCCGCAAACAGAGCGTTGTCGTACAGCATTTCACGCCCGAAGGCAGCGAGGACGCCCCCCCCCCCCCCCCCCCCTCTCCGCGCGTCCGCTCGCCCCGCCACTGACCTTCCGGGTCGAGTAGACGGTCGATGCTCAGGTACTTGTGCGCCAGCTTGAACGCGTACTCGAGCCGCTGCGGCGGCGGCTTGTGCAGCTGCTTCTCGAAGTCGAACAGCTCCGGCTCGAACTTGTGGATCAGCGCGATGAACGCCAGCCCGTCCGTCCAGCTGGTGGTGAAGTTGCGTATGTCGACGCCCTCGTAGCCCTGCCGGCGACGCGCCAGACGTGCGGGGGAGCGCGCTCGAGCCGACCGGGTGGTCACAGCCGGCGGAGACCCGACCAGGCAACGGCGCGTCGCACGCCACCCAGGCCGACGCCGACACAGTGGGGCGCCCCAGCGCAAAAGGCCGAACATCCTGTCCGTTCGATTTTCCACGGCGCGTGAATTACACCAGAAAAAAATTAAGAAGTGATCAGAATTCCTTACAAGCTGAATCTTGCATGCTACATATTTTAACCAGCATTCATAACATGTCAAATGACGCACGCACGCTCGAACAAAAAAGAACTAAGAAAACACATACAACAAACAGCGTTGTGGCTCCCAACCGCCTGATTATCTTCCACACGGCCCTTCCACCACAGGGCGCCGTCTCTGAAGCGGCTGGGCGGCAGGAGGCGGGGGGGGGGGGGACCGGCTTCGACCGCGTCACCGCCAGGGCCACACCCTGTCCCGTCCCGCGCCCGCGCGCCAGGCGTCAGCCATCACCGGCCGGCGCACGGGCGTGCGGCGCGCGGACAGGACGGGTGTCCCACCAGGGCCGCCGGGGCGGGGCCACCGGGAGAGGGGGAGGGTGGGGTGGCCGTGCGGGAGTCGGCCGCACGCCGGTGGGCTCGTCACACCCACCGGCCGGCCGGTACAGGCTCTGCTATCTGCAGGGTGGCGGTAAACGAACGGGGAACGGTCATCCCGCCCATGGTCATCAGCCACAATCACGGCTGCCCACCTGTTGGAACCTCGCGAGGCAACCATACCAACAGTGGAGAGCGGGTCAGCTGCTTTCACAAACCGGACAATAGGCGGAACTAACCGAGGTGCACGCGAGGTCATACACACATCGAGTCGTCAATGCCGACTACAACACGCACGCATGCACGCACGCACGCATGCATGCACGTACGCACGCACGCACGTATGCAACCACCGACAGTGTTACCTGGGTCATCTGTCGACACCATGCCAGCAATGTCTTCTCCAAATTCGTTTGTTTGGCTTCGGTCATAATGTCCTTCAGAACATCCTGGACCTGTGGGGTGTGGTTCGCGCAATTAGCCATGCTGATGTATGTGAAATATGACGTTAACTGAATGATGGTACACGTTACGCTAAGACAAAACAAGTTTTTGGAAGACGTGTCCCGAAGATCAAAATGATACCGCTGACAGCGGAAGCAAATACTAGGTGAATCGGAGTGAAAACAACTTGTAGCACGCTAGAGCCATGAGCAGTTATCAGTTGAATGCGCAGTACAAGCTCTCGGTCAGCCAGTCGGGGACTCCGGTTACCCCGTACCGATGTTCCCTTTGCACAGTGACCCTAGCCGTGCCCTTAGCACTGGCCGAGGCAGGGCGGCTGGGCCGCGACCTCAGCCGTGACCTCAATGGTCCGTGGTCCGTGCGGGGCGTCGGAGCGGCGGGCGGCGGCCGACTGCGACGGGCCGCGGCCACCTGGGGACGCCTAGCCGACACCCACCTGCCAGTGCAGGATGATGCTCCAGACCAGACCCAGCGTCAGCTTCGGGTTCCCGTCCACGATGTCGTTGTTGTTGATGTTGACTAGCTTGATGTTGTATTGCCGCAGGATCAGCAGCGCGTTGCTAACGTTGTTCAGGTGGTGAACCCGCATCCGACCCTTCTCTTTTTTCTGTGGGTCGGGACGTACCGGGTAATGGCAAAATAACGAAAGCATGGGCTTAAACAAACGGATGTGGAGCTCCAAATGCAAAATAAACGTCCAGACTGTGCCTCATACTACTCTGATACCAATCATCAGTATGAAAGATTATTTGGACCTATGGGTGCGTGCACCGCCTCATTCCATTGCGCCCACCTTTGGCCATTTGGGTGCGTAGGCCGCCCATTCTATTACGCCCACCTTTGGACCTATGAGCGCGTAAGCCGCCTCAATCTATTGCGCCCACCATTGGACTTATGAGCGCGTAAGCCGCCTCATTCTATTGCGTCCACTTGACACCAGCCGGCCGTACATTTGACAGGCCCACTAACCCACCGCTGGCAAGGCCGTGTCGGCGCCCATCTGGCTGGAGCCCGGACTGCTGGTACTCACGCATGGCTTGTTGGTGAGGACCTCCAGCAGAGCCAGCAGCTTGGAGCCGTCGCGCAGATCGAAGAACAGGTCCGTGACCGGTTCGAGCTTTTTCTGCGGGTACGGCCTCCCGGCGTTCGATCAGCCGCACCAGAGCACAGCGCACACCCAGCTTCAGGCGGTGCCATAGTTCACACGTCACGTGGGTTATGTCGGAGGAGACTGGCACGTACAAAAGCTTGGCGCTGCTGTATTATACACTGACTTGGTACAGCGCAGAAAATTGAACTGGACAATGTGAATCGAGCGGCTTGCAGACACGGTCGCAGCGTTCTATTTCAGTCCGGTGATTAGTGACATTTTGCGGACTGGCCGGGCATGTGATGTTAGATAAACGGGACGTCGCGCCTTCTGAATGACAAAAGACCAGCAGAGTATCAGAAAGTTGACGACGGTTGTCGAGCAAAGCAGCGCCGCCCTGTCCTGTTCTCCATGCAAAAAATCCCAAAAGCAAGCTTTAAAATTATTGGAGCGCAAATCCATTTGTTTTTTAACAAGTTGAATGCTGACGTTTAATTGGTATATGCGCTAAACAAGCGACGCAGTCCTGCAGCAAATGCGACATGAAAGGTTGGTATCCACTCCGTCTGTCGCCCAGTGGCAGCGCAACCCTCCTAGCGCGGCTTAGCCAATAAAATGGGATCGAGCCATCCAGACAGATGCACGGCTAGGGCCTATGCATGCTTAGCCTTCCAAGTGTTCTCAAGGTAACTGAGCTCTCAATTGACGTTTTGGTATATGACTTATGTACCCTGCGCACTTATATCAACGGCATAGGCGTTGGCGTGCGTCGGTTTCATAAGCGAAGGGGACGCCACCTAAATGGGCATACAATGCTGATTACTAACCAAGGTGTCGGTGGAATGTTGGTCCTATTTATGACTTTTAGCCCAAAGGCCTTGGCTTAGGCTGGGTCGGGCATGCCAAGTGCCAAGTTTTTGGCGCGAAGCTAGACCGCGCTTCTTAAAGGGTGGCCCGGAGAAAATGCAACTAAAATGAAATGAGAGACATGCTATCCGGAGTTTGTTTTTAATCGATACTAGCATCGATCATTGGTCTGGATAAATTGAGGCTATTACATGCGTTGGAATGTGCACCAATTGAGTTTAATCACGATCTAATGCTATGAGATGTTTCCAAAAGATGCTGAAGATGGCCCTGAAATTTGGTTATACTATTTACCTGCTGCAAGCGCGCAGAATTACAGGCTGATAGAAACGTGAACGCTGACTATGCAAAACTGTTTCGCTGAGCCAAATGTAGCTTGCTTATATGACTTGCTGCTTGCATGCTTCTTGATACGGACATAAGCGAATTTCCGAAAATAAATGCGCTCCGGATCTGTATGCAAAATGGTCAGCAGGTCAAAAAGTTCGCAGTTCATCACTAAAGCCCAAAAGCGCATCTTACGTCACACAAAACTCGATGAAACGTATATTACTTCCAGTGTACTGTGGTAAGCAGTATTGAAACAACAAATACTGCCTGCAACGGTGGAGACACAATAAAGACGAGAAAAACACCTAACACCTTTGAAAACACCTCTAGCCACCAATTAAAACCCATAAATCTAAAAACCTAAAAACACCTATAAACACCTATGCAGTATACTCCGCAGCTATGGCATCGGGTTCAGCAGCCGATGCAGAACCTACAAAGATAACGGTGAAGCATCAACCATACGACTCCATATCAGCAACAAACGTATTCAGATCCTGGTTTTTCGGCATTGCGAGTTGGGAGTTCTTATGCTGACAATAATCCATCTTTAATACCTTTAATGTACCAGGAGGAGCTGGCTGAATAGCATTATCACGCAAATATTGGTTACATTTTTTTAAAAAAGCGATGCTTCTGACCAAGCTCAGATGACATGTGACGTTGACAAATACGAGCACGGCTTGAGACGTCGAGTTTTCACAGTCTAATTCAAGTTTGTTTGATGACGTCATTTAATAAGTACCTGATCGTTTATTGCACACTTGTTATTGTCAGCGACAGGGCTTTAAACTCATTAAACCATATCACTCCCTCACTCTAACAACAGGCCAAACGAGGTTACTCGCACTACAAAATGCAAAGTTGCAAAAGATAGAAGACCTGATCATTTAACTTTTACACAGACACATTCAACGTCCGTGCTTCAGGTGTAACAACAAGTCTGAAGACAAGTGTCAGACAGTTTGGGCTAGTTTTGAGCATACGTGCGATGCGCGAGGGTCGTCGCACGCGATTCCAGATTTATAACATGAGGGTAGCAATTCTGGGAGGAGCGTATGGGCTACAGACAGAACACGGGGTAGAACTACCCGTAAAACCCGAGCGAATGGAGAAAAATCCTCTAAAACTGTCATCACGGGACCCTGTTCTAAATGTTCTTCAGCGCGGCGACAGAAAATGGCTCTGCGTAGCTACAGATACCGCCTGGCGGAGGTAAACAGATAAATGTGGACATAAACGAACAATGTCCTGGAGACCTCTCGGCTGTGAGTTAATGGAGACCATAAAAGTGACGATTTTGACGCCCCGACGACATATCTCTTCCGAGCAGACTGAATGAGGCGCTGAATAAGAATATATGAATGCCATAGCAACCATGCGCAAAACAATGAACCTAAGCCAAATCCTGTGGGCTGTCTGTGCTTCCCCGGGCATTTGACCACACATACGTATGTTATTCTCAACGTTACGGAAGTAGAGCATGCAGTAGTGCTTGGACACGCCTATGATACCGCACAACCATGACCGCAAGATTTATCGGTCAGTCTGCTAGCCCAGAGCTCTCATTAGCAGCGCTTTGGTGGCATAGGAAGCATGCCCCAGAAACAGCTAACCTCCACAAAATAAGGCCGAACGGAAAACGCGATCGAAGGGACAAAAGAGTGCTTAGAATGCAAGGGCTGAAACGCAATGATTGGCCTGACGTGACCATTATCACGCTCTTGTTTTGCCTATCTTTCAGCATATGTCCACTGTGTGTATTTACACTGAATTCTATGTAAGCCCTGATTTGCCGCCCTTCCATGGCCCTGCTTGCAGCGAATATCCAAACTACTTTTGAACACAAGCGGAGGTCACGCAATTGTTCACTTACTAATGCGAACAACCTAACATATAACTCCACCTGACAAGCCAGCTTCAACCCAGAGGTCATTCGCATTGCGTATGCTTCTCATCCACTTGTAACCCGCATCAAAGCCTGCAACGTGGACAATTTGGAGCAGACTTTCACCGAGCCCAAACGCGTGTCGCTACTCAGAGACTTCACCGAGCCCCCGCTGGCTTACATCTGCCTATAACGGACCAAGCTTTCACTCTTTCGTTTGAGATGTACAGCTCTGCCTAGTCCGTTTCGCTGAGAATACATGGTTTTGTACTGCCCATGCCGCCATGGCTTCAGTTCCCCTAGCGTCTGCACGTTTGCCCTAGCCGGCCGCGCGGCCGCTGCTGTCCAGCCACGCGCTCACCCGGCTCGATGTAACCCCGGGGCAAGGTCAAGGTCACCCTCGAACCCAGCCGGATACACAGCGGCTGGGAGGCCAGCGGTAGCCCGTCGGTAGTGAGACATTGCAGTTCACTTTGGAAAGTGCCTGAATGTAGCGCACGCCATGTACGAACGCCATGAAATGTACGAACATTTCCTTGACGTCAAATGTGCCGTTATGCTCACACGATAAATGGCGGAGAAGAGAGCGACTGATGCTTAACCTTCCGACCAACAAGTCACAACAAATCGCAAGGCACTGCAGTTGTGAACGCTGCATTCGATAGGATCATGATCATTTGGGTTTGGCAAGAGCTGACAACACATGCCATCCATGGGCGTGATTCCATTTGGCGATGCCCCTCGGAGCTTCATGACCAGCCAATGCATGACATATGCGTATAGCAAACACTGGATGCTGCTCGCGACACGCAGTCCGGGATTATTTAAAGTGATAGACCGAACGTATTAATTGGATGAATTTCTGGCATCAGCGTCCACGCTAAGCTGTGCTTGCTGCTTGACGCTCGCCCTGATAAAGACGGGTCGATGGTCCACCCATGGGCATCTTTCAGGGTACCTCTCCCCTATGTTGGCAATCGCAGCCAAATTTTCAGTAGCCTATGGGACATGTCGCGCACATGCTCTGACACCAAAAACGTGTTCTTAGTTTCCTGGTTTCGGGGCAGCGGCGGTTTTTTACGAACACTGCACGGCGATCTACGGCCGGCGCGAGCGGTAACCAACGATGCCGCGGAATGCGCGCGGTGGGCCGACACTGTTACATTAAGGAAGCCGTACACCATAAAGATGCCCTCAAAACAAATAGAATAAACACTGTTGTACTTAAAACTGAACAAAGAACGCACCTGTATAGAATTCGTGCCGCCATGAGGCATGGCCTCGTATCCATGATACTGTAAAGCTGAAAAACGATTTTCTGGAAAATTTTACCTTTCGCCTTGCCTATTGGGGCAATTATTGACATCAAAATAAACGTTCGTACAAATCACGCGATCTCGTTGAGACAAATAGACTGGTGTTTTCCGTGAAGGCATATCGTCATAAGGATAGAAACGCCAGGGAGTCGCATCGACCCTCCCCCCCCCCCCCTCCCATCAGTCCGCGTCATAAAAAACGATGAATCAGGGCGAGGGTTCAGCCCAGGACCGAACACCACAGCGCAACCTTTTGAGTCAAGGGTAGAGCGGCAAAGGCCCTTGCTAGTTTCAGGCGCGCGCCAAAAACAATTGGGTTATCAGGACGGACCGTGCTGTCTGGCTGCCTACCGACGGAATAGTTAGCAAACTAAAACTACGAAACACTGACTATCTTGAACGACGGACTACCGGGAAATGGGCTTGTGTCTGTGACAATCAGAGATCCGTGAAGTGAAGTATGATAATGGGGAAACACGGATGAGTATTTAAATCCACGCCAATTTACTGAAACGGTCGGCATCCCGACAAAAATTGTGGACGAGACAAGGAAGGGTGATGCTTCAACAAACAAAACATGTTTGGCAAGCTAATACAGAATAAGTGTCCTGACAAACTGGCAAACGAACAGAGGGCACCATGTAAAAATGGGTTTGGCGAGTTCCCATGCATTGCACAAAGGGGCCAGGGGGTTTGTTGTCTGGAAAATGTTTCAATTGCGTCCAATTGCAACAGCCTCCAATGACCAGCCCAAACTCACGTACTTACCGATGCACTTCCAGATCCGATAGCATTATGTGGACGGCGAATAAGTACAAGTATTATTAATTTCAAAAACCAACACGTCATGTTTTATTTATCTGAGCTCCCCGCACATTTGTTTAAGGTTAAGCCGACGGTGAGCATGACCACATTACGCTGAGTATTTCATAACGGAATTAAGCCAAGTTCATGCCGTCTAGCCTGCACTGGCATGCCTAACTAAGCATCCGTTCGACCTAATAACACGGAAATGAGCGGTAGTGAGACATGAGTTCAAGTAAGGCAGTAGGCATCCAAGCTCCAGCAGAAAGCAAACCATGGGTCAGGTTTTATCAAACCGATCGCGAGCAGAAAATCACACATGCAAGGCTTTGTGAAATGAAGTAGCGCGATCACTGGGCGGTTACCCGGTCGGCAAGGTCATTCCTTTTCCTAGCCTGGTGTCCAGAGCAGTCCTGAAACCGTCAACATCTTCACCGGACGCGCCAGCACGCACGACGGGCCGCAGAGGGAGGGGCAGAGTGGTTACCTTAACAACACCTTAGGGCAGGCCACAGAGGTTAGGCCACGGTGGTTATCTTCGCAACACCTTGGGGCAGGCCGCAGAGGGTAGGGCGGAGTGGTTACCTTAACAACACCTTAGGGCAGACCACAGATGGTAGGGCATGGTGGTTACCTCAACAATACCTTAGGGCAGGCCGCAGAGGTAAGGCCACGGCGGTTATCTTCGCAATACCTCGGGGCAGGCCGCAGAGGGTAGGGCGGAGTGGTTACCTTAACAACACCTTAGGGCAGGCCAAAGAGGTTAGGCCACGGTGGTTATCTTCGCAACACCTTGGGGCAGACCGCAGAGAGTAGGGCGGAGTGGTTACCTTAACAACACCTTAGGGCAGACCACAGAGGGTAGGGCAGGGTGGTTAACTTGGCAACACCTCCGCAACTGCATCGTGCCAATGAAGGCCAAAAATGCACTGCAATGAGTGGCTCTTAAAACAGTAGCTATCCAAGTACAAAATCGTGCGTAACCGTCATACTAGACGTGCGTGATAGTGCCCGTAGTTTCGGGGAATGTTTCCTGAGTAGCTGTTGTGGTATACAACGCGCGAATTCACACCTAACGCCACAGGTGAGATCATGACGAATCTCTGAAAATAAGCAAGATCGTATGATAGATTTGTCAATATTTCACAACAACGTTCAAACTAGAACCCACCAAGCCAAAAAATGTCGAGCAACTCAGCACCATGTGCTGTGATACAAGGGTTCTTACTCGGTCTCCGACAGTCAATTCGCCACTTTTTCCACGCGTGCGAGAAAACAGCATTATACAACATAGCTCGTTCAAAGTTCAAAACTCAAAACAAAGCTCAAAACAACGAGCATACAGCATACCTCGTTCAGGAAGTAGTATGGACCGATAACCCAGATCTACAGATGAGTATTGAGCATTATGCAAAACGTCTACGGATCGCCTATGAGCACGATCCCTGGCGGGTGTACACGCACCGCGGGTGAGACATATGCAAACAGTTACTCGACGAGCTGCACTTCATTTGAGTTCGAGGTGTCAGCCAGAAAAGGATACGTCTAACTAAAGGGTCCGTTAGGCCGGGCAATCCTCGGTGTAAAACTTCTTTAACAGATATATTTGGATGTTTAGAGCAAACAACATTGGGTTCCAAGCCTGAACTGATTAGAGCCCTGGATCAGGGCCTACGAAGTGGACAGCCCAATCAAAAGAACAATATGGCGGTATCAAGGCAGAGTTGCCATGACCCTGATCTCGTCGACCACATTTTTCCTCCTTTCAAATGCGGAGAATTTGTCGTAAAAACAGCTCTGTCGCTCACAAGAAAACAGCGTACGTGGCATCCGTTATTTGGAGCCCCGCTGACATATACACCTTGCCGTGACCTCACTCGTACAAAACCGCGTCTTCATCATCGTCGTCACTGGGGCTTACGACACAGTCAGCGTCTTCCAATGTCATCAATGCCCACATTGTTGCAAGTTGATAAGTACAATTTTCAGATACGTGCGCTAAAATTCGTGACCTTTGCAAATAAACGCATGCATGTAGTTAGAACTACTTGGCCATCATCTCAGATATGGTGTTCTTCTAAGGACGAAATCACGGCAGGCAACGTCGAGGATCGTTCCCATGCCAAAAAGAGCTGCCACATATCTATGCACTATGAAAACAAAGCAAAACTATTCCTGCCAAAAGGCATCCCAGTGGAAAATCAGAGGCCGGAGACTTGCGTGTATGCCCTCTTACTACTATCAGTCCACATTTCCAACTGTTTAACGATTTGCCCCTGCCCCCCCCCCCCCCCCCCCCCTATCAGCCTTGCCACCGAACGTTAGATCCTGGTGAGCTTCCTGCTCTCCTCCCTTCCACCCAATCCCCACTCCCAGCTTTGTTGCCACAGAGGCAAGATCAGCATGGCCCATTTAAACATATGAACAGGTGCAATTTTTTTCATATGAACACAACATCACATTATGCTTAAAATGAGCTGTGTGAACCCACCTTTGCCAGCTGCGAGTTGATCCATTTGGAGAAGGTTTTCTTCTGTACATCCTCTCTTTCATCTGAAAAAAGACAAATTGTTAAGCAGAGCAAAAAATTAAATGTTAGATGAATACATGCTCCTCTTGATGACTTACCACACTGCCCACAAAACTTGCCTGTAAGGGCCTCTCTCACATAGTTGACAAGTTGGGGAGCACAAGGTGCTCATGAGGCATGTTGTTCTATCCTATGCTGAAGATGTTCTATCCTATGCTAAGCTTCACAAAAATGTGCTTTTCTTCCTTGGTTGAGACCATGCAATCTCTTGATTATCCACATGCAGCAAATGGACACCTGTGCATATTTCTTCAGCATGGATGGTTTTGGTAACCATCTGTTGAAGGACCCTTCATTCACATGCCTCCACCTAGTGGTTGACTTTTTAAAAGGTCTGTGCAATGGACATGTGACTAAGCATGCTGTAAAAATATTTAAAATAGAATGGAATAGGTCATGGAAAAATTTTGCCGCAGCAATGTAAACATACATAAGTGGATGAAACTTGTAACATCTCATGTCAGACCAAGCAGCTGAAGCATGATTGGCTCATTACTTATTGATGTAGTGGCCCAGCCAGGACTAGGACTAGACATACATAGGACTAGACATATCACATGTATAAGGAGAACATCATAAGGGGCATCCAAATCTGTTTGATATGAACAGTGAATATCTCAGTTGCACTTTCTTCAAAGTCAAATCAGATCACAATCCAGAATTTCACTAACTTCATATCAGATGACATCACCTTACCAAAGAAATCAGAATGATGATTATCCATTTCAGAATGATGTAGTAAAAAAGGGCAAGCAGTTAGTTTATTTCATTCTTTAATTTATAAATGTCTGCACATATATTACCAAATTGTGACTGGCATGACTTCATTTATAAATTATCAACTATCATCACAGGGACTTAAGATGTTTCAAACATTTGAAACTATTTTGTTAACTGAGCAGCCTAAATTTGCAGCGACATTTTTGTAACCGTTAAGAAGCTTAACTGGAATATCAGGAAAGAGCTACCAGGCCCCGCATGGTATATGGATGAAAATATGCAAGCAAATCATTTATGACAAATATGTTCTCAGGATTTCAAAAACTATTGATTCAGAGTTCAGGTTAGCCCAATCCTCTGCATTATCAGATGCATCAAGACGAGCAATTGTGCTTACCGAGTTGTGCCCCAGCAGGGCAGCTGCCACAATCAGTATTGAGGCTTATAGCTTTCACTGGCATGGGTTACATATACTCAGAGAACCCAATGTGTCTTGTTTCAATAAATACACACCATAAAGCAGAACAGAGATATTAATAAATAAAGTATTGTTACACAACCTGCAAAATACTGAGACCCAGCTTGAGTGATACTTTTGATTTGATATCAACATTTTCCTCACATCCTTTTAGTTCTAACCTGTGGATATCTCACCCACCAACAGCCCACATCCTTTTAACCTATTGGTCAAAGTTATCCACAAAACCCCCAACCCTGCCAAGGGCAAAACGTCATTGGCTTAGGTAGAGCTACTTTAATTTTATTCTCGACACCTATTCCCACATCAAACTACCAAACATTAGAAAACGATTATCTTTGGCTTCGAACATTCATCGTCAAGGGCATCCAAAGCTGCCAAACGCCCAAGACGTTTGCCACAAGGGTTTCAAGCACCGGTTGTGCAACAGGTGAGACTGCGCTCGTGCAACCAATCCCCAGGTGCCTACTCCTACCTGCTGCCACCATCCTTACCAGAGAGTCGCTGCTCCATTTTAGAAACGTCGCCTTATTCAAACATCATCTTAACAAGCACGTCGTGATACGAACAAGGTAATTCAGGCAGCACCCAGCCTCAGTTACTTCCGGGCAGGTGACGTTCTCAAGCGCCGCTCCCCTTTTTCCCACCGATGCCGCATAGACTGAGCGTGAAGTTTACAATCAACATAAAGGTATACCACGCAACTCACATGAACGTCACTGTGTATGGAAACAAGAATGCACCAATCCAAAACAGGTAAATGGTAATATGACGTCATAAGCCGTTATGCAGCCAATCCGAAACCACCGTATTTGTTGCCAAAGCTCCTGCGAATTGTAGTCAGCTGACGCTTTTATAGGTACCCAGGATGCATCACAACCAGCGGCTCCCGAACGGTTTGTCATTGGAGCGGAATTGCCGACACGCATCTGGTGAGCGACACAACAAAGCTGGAGACAGTTTTCCCTCAACTCAATTACACATGGCTAGGGTTGATTGGGAAACGCGACAGAATGGCGCGAACCGGTGGCTAAGACCCGATGGCAGACAAAGTTAGAAAAGGAGGCTCCGGAAGCTCTGCTCTGGCGGGGAGAACTTCCGTATAAACTGGGAGTCCTCCCTCCGCTTAAAGTGCCCCTAAAAAAGGACAGTAAACCGAGGGCCGAACATGAACATGTCCTGGAAACGGAGCAGAGAAAGCCAGGACTAAGCAGATTGGACCAGGATCAGGAGGGGGTTGGGGCGGGGGGAGTTGGATCAGCGGATCAGACCAAAGGGGATTACGGGACAAACGGTTATGGGCGTGGTCACCACTGGGGTCCGTGGTTTTCGAAGCACAATGCATTTTGCGCAGATTGAACTTTTTAGTGGTCGAGCATTTAAAAAGAACTAACACAAAAATGGATCACGCTAACAAATGCATGGTCACGTCCGTGCATATCGCATGGCGTGACAATGCATGGTATGAAACAACAATCAACAACACGGGGCAGGACGGGTCGTGACTAGGCAGGGCAGGGTGGTGCAGCTGATCACCTCAGGTTGAGCCGGTTAGGGTAGGGCAGGGCAACGCAGGATAGAAAAGGATGGACAGATGATTATCTGGCCGGAACAGAGGAAAAATTACACCATCGGTCCGGTGCGGTCGTCCTGCCGACTCCGACGGCGCATGGCAGGACGGGGCGGGGCTGAGGGGCTCGTTCGGCCGAGGGAAATTTTTCAACGAAAAATTATTTTTCCTATAATCATCCACGGAGTTCTCCATTGGCGTACGGGCGGTCGGGAAATTATCCCCAGATTCGTCCCCTTTGTGCATATGTAGCCAACGGTCATAACTATGCATTGCGAAAAAAGATTCTCCATCTTTGACCACGCTCTGAAAATTTCCGGAATTCTCCCTCGGAACAGAAAATTACCCAAGAAAATTTTCCGTGGGCGCAGTACCGAACGCCATTCAGGCAGATTTTCCAACATTCCGGATAATTTATGGAGATTATCTGCCGGTCAACCTCCCCCCCCCCCCCCGACAAAGTCAATCCAGGCACCGGTAATCCAGGATCTCGGACTGAAATCAACCTGATCCTGGGATTCACATTTGTTTTTATTTCGCGATGCCGATTTTCGGGAAAAGCGCAGCAGTCTATTGCATTTGTTTTTTCATAAATAATTATCTCTTGCTTGTTATATTTCTCTAAATTAATCTATGTTTATTAAAGAGTTATTTATAATGGTAGTTCAAAGAAAGCAAATATGCCGGAAGGCACAACAATATGCAACCAGGCACATATTTCCATGGCTGCCATATTTCAGTATGGATCAAGTGGTTCCCGTACAAATTGGCCAACGGCGTCTCACCGAATGCTGGTCCACCAAATGTGAAAAACCCGAATGCTTTTGCCACACGTCAAAAAGGCGAACGACTAAATGGCGTAATGTAAATTGACAGCATGTGTTCTTCACGACATGCAAATTTTCGAGCTGAAAACAGTTCAGTGTGCTAATTAGTCGAAAGCTAATTAGCCGAAATGCTAGGTACCGGGTTGCCAATATGGCAAACAACATTTACGCTAATAGCAATCAGATGAATGAAAAGCCGCTCTCGAAATACAGATTTGATGAATGACACTGCAAATAGGTGGACGTACATTCGTCGAATGGTGAATTAGACCTATACGTTTTGACAAAATATTGGTGGAGGGTTTTAAAATCATCAGACGTGATAACACCCGCGGCCCTTAGGGTATGCCCATGAATTACGTTACCCATTAATCGGGAGCGGTTTAGTTGGTTTTAACCACTATTTTTAAGTACATAGAGCAATTCGGTCTGATTTGACCGGTTAAATTCTGATCTAGTTATATCGATCAATGGAACAATGAAAATCACCCTCTGACCTGACATGGCATATTACAGGTCACATCACTCGCATGAACACCTGAGGGCGTTCACTATAACGCATCCGATAAAAATATTTTAAAAGCTATTCAACGCCGTTTCCCATCTTGTCATAGCTTAGTTTTTGCAGTAGCGGGAGGTTGAATCTGTTTTCACCTGTACAGTCATATTCGCCGTTTTCGGTCACACCTATCTGGAAGGTACAGCTCGGCAAAAGTTTTACGGTGTCGTAGTCTTAGTCCTGGTCAGGGGCGGATCTAGCCTGGAGTTTTTTTTTTTGGGGGGGGGGAGCAACCGTTTGTCCCCAGCTGGCTGGTGTGGGATCCGAGGTCCAGTGCATGGTGTCTCTCGCGAGTACCTAGTAGGGACATCATCCAAGCACCGAGATACCTTTGGATTTTCTATAAACAGTATGCATTTTCACAAAGCTCGTAACACTCATTTTGAGGTATTTTTTCGCTTTTTTGTGATGGCTATTATGTAGGCTGTTATTTTGAGGTACATCTTTTGAGGTAAGTAGACGAAACTTTTATGAAGTTCTAGGAATTTTGGGGGGCCAAATCATACTCTCAGAGTTTTGGGGGGCATAACCCCGGGCCCCCCCCCCCCCCCAGGATCCGCCTATGGTCCTGGTTCTGGCTTGCTTGGTTTTTGTGCTGTTAATGGAGCTGCTGAGGCCTTCCCTCTTAGGGTGCTGGTGAAAAAAAATGAACGGGGTGAGGGTTAAGGAGCCTCTTTCCACAAGCGATTAATAGCATTTCGAATGCGTACATATTCGACTAAAAAACAGCCCGCTAATTGGCACTCGACTGAAGGAAAATTTAGCATGTGGGTATTCGACCAAAATGCATTCGGGTGGTAAGCATTCGA